CTAGGAATGAATGTTGCATCAACAGCTAGAAATGAATGTCGGGGGACCTGGCACACACGTTGGTTGCGGCGTTGATATGGCGTCGGGCTTCGAGGCGGCCGACGCAAAAGCTTGTACTGTACCAATGAGCTTCTTGGCCGTATATTTTCTATAGTCCTTGATCAAATTTGCAAACAGGCAAGACCTATCAGTTACAATTGATGCCTTCATGTTAGCTATTTTGACCATGCAAATTGACATGTCTACACTACTCGCATCGTGAAGAGAATAAATCCTGTGCAACACAACTAAGGGTCGCACAGCAGCCAAGCAAATAGTTAGTGCAATCCTCAAATTTGGCGATCCCTGTGCAGCTGCCTTGCACAATGAAATACCCATTGCAATTGCTGCAGCTTAGTAAGCTAGAATTGCATGATGGATCAGGGATATTGCAGTCTTTCAAATTGTTCGAGCAGCAGAATAAGCTGGTAGGAGCACGAGAGATTGGAGCAGTTGTTGTTGGATTCGGAGTTGGTTCGGGGGTAGGATTTGGTGTTGGTATAGGTGTCGGAGCAGGCGTCGGTTTTGCTGTTGGAGCACGAATGGGAATAGCAGTTGGATTTGTTGTTGCCACGATAGGCTTCATTGTTGGAGCACGACTGGGAATAGCAGTTGGATTTGGTGTTGCCACGATAGGCTTCATTGTTGGACCATGTGTTGGCGTTATTGATGGTGAGATTGAAGCCAAAGCAGTCGATGATACAGTTGGAGGAGGCGTTGGTCCGACCACTGGCATGTATGTTGGTGACGAAAATGGTGTCATCGGTGGCTTTGTGGAAACTGGGCCTGACGTCAAGCCTGTCGGTGATAACGTTTGCTCAATCATAGGGCTAGGTGTTGACAAATCGCCTGTTGCTATCGATGGCTTCGTGGACGGTGGGCTTGAAACCAAAGTTGTTGGTGATACGGTTGGCGGAGGCGATGGCCCGACAACTGGCATCGATGTTGATGCAGAAGGTGGAGTCATGAGTGACATTGCAGATGGCGAGGTCGTACTTGGAGCGCCCGTTGGCATAGCAGAAGGAGATCGAATGGGAGCCAACGTAGGTGCTTCAACAGGAATGGATGTGGGAGTACCTGGAATACGCGTTGGTTGCGGCACTGGCACGAGTGTTGGGATGCTATCAGGACCTTCTGTTGCCGGCTGAGCTATAGGAGACTTCGTCGGACTGTTGCTTGGCAGTCTAGATGAAACATCAGTTGGCGGGGCAGATGGAGCTTCGGAAGGTGTCACATCAATAATATTTCTTGCATTCACTGATAGGAACAAATCATCAAGGTCCAACTTTGATACCATGTTCTTGCCGTTTGCCAATTCCTCTAATACAATGGCCTCAACATCGGCAGAAGTAATATCAGCATCCAGTAGTAAAGAAAACTCGACAAGGACAACATAACATAGCTCGGGAGTTGTTGCATCCACACAGACTGCATCTTTCAGCAATTCACCGTTGACACGTGCGAATAGAATCGCATATCGAGACTCATCAAGAATTTCTTCCATTTCTTTGGAGGCTCCTGGGATGACTGTTTTGTCCAATTCGATTAGATTTCGCTGATCGCCATTCGTGCAGCCAGCCATGGCTGGAAGCAGGAGCGCTTGAATGGAATCCAACAATTCCTGTATCATTTCGTTAGTCATTCCAGTTTCACCCTTGACATTGATCTGAATGTTGGCATTCCAGTTGCTCTCAGACAGTGTGTTGTTGTTCCCTGAAATGGTTTGGTTGTTCCTAATGGCAGCACAGTCTTCCGGGCTTGGTGGATCCAGAACCTGCTTTTTGGATGATGGTACCGCTGTTGGTGTGCCATTTGGGGAACCGGCTGGAGCCTCGGATACAAGTTCGGGCGATTCAGTAGTAGGATCATAGGAGTCATGTTCTTGAACCTGTGCACCTTGATCATCGTCGCCTTTTCTGAGAACAGCAAAGGCTGTCAGTCCACCGCCAATGACAAGAATGGCGACAGTCAAAATAATCCACAATTTGTACGAAACTTTCTCTTTCTTTCCTGACTTTCGATCCTTCTTGGACGCCACAGGTTGCCCATCCCCAACAATTGAGTCTTTCGCCTGTGACGAATTGGAATCATCTTCAATCATCATCCATGGAACCACATGCCCATCCACTGGCGGTGTCATACTCCTCGATGATCTGCCCATGCTTTCCACTCCCGGATTCTTGTTGGATCTGGAGCTTCCTGATCCCTTCTTCACCTTGTTCTTGGTATCATCATCGTCGTCATCTCTATAGAGGATCTCGACAGTACTCTTTGTGCCGATACTTTTACTGCTTTGGTGGGAAGAAGATCCCAGCATTACTTTTGACTTTGCTTTGGCATCTTCGGTACCCATCCCATACAAGATTTGTGTGCTTTGGTTGCTGCTACTGGTGCTCCTACTATGTCCAGATGCACCGACAAGTTCCACACCAGGATTGACAGATCTTTTGAAATTTCGTAATGCCTTTGCTTTCGCCTTGGTATCTTCGTCTCCGTACAAGACTGCAGTAATGTGGTCGGTGTCGCCAGTGCTCTTGCTGTGTCCAGACAAACTGAAACGCTCAACACCGGGTTTATGGGATTTTTTCGAATTCGATGATGCCTTTGCTTTCGACTTGGCATCGGCATCTCCGTACAATACTGCGATAGTATGGGCGGTATCGCTAGTACTCTTGCTGTGTCCAGACGAACAGACAAGCTCAGCACCGGGTCTGAGTGAACCTTTCGAGCTTCGTGATGCCTTTGCTTTCGACTTAGCATCTTCGTCTCCGTACAATATTTCAGTACTTTCAGCTATGCTGAGGGTGTCCCTCCTTTTTCCTGATGAACTGACAAGCTCAGCACCTGGTTTTAGGGACCTTGTCGTACCCCGTGATGCATTTGCTTTTGCCTTGGTGTTTTTGTCTCCATACAAAAGTTCTGATGGGCCGCTATTACTTTCTTTGCTGTGCGACGAAGATTTCATTCCAGCTTTCTTGGTGCGTCGTCTGTGGCCGCTTCCACTGCTCATTTTGTGGGAGCTTTTGCTACCCTTGGATGCTGATCTACTTCTCCGACCCTTGGAATCTGATCTCCTCTTTCGAGAAGACCTGTCGCGAATTCTCGTTTTCTCTCCCCCATTAGTAGGCGCAGCATCGTCAGCATTCTCAATGATAGTCATATTATCAGGTTTGGATGCTTTTGAATCTTTGAGGGGACTGCTCATTGTTGCAGTGATAAGTTTGATGATACCGAGCAGAAATGAAGATTGTGAGGGATGTGCACCAGAGAGTTGCCTATGGTCCAAGTTTAAGACCAAAAATGTGGCACAAATTGTATCGGACCGCCCACAATTCCTGTTCACAATAGTGTGCGGCAATAATTAAAATAAGGAGAGATCTGCCCTTTGAGACTCCTTGGTCACTTCCACTTTCGCTATATTCCGAAGAATCGTTTTGCGAAATGAGCGGTATTAATTTTTAAAAGGAGGGAACTGCCCTTTGAAGCTCTTTGGTCACTCCGGCCTCCTTGAGAAGGTGTTCTTTTTCACTCTATTACGATAGAATTTCTTCGCGAATTTCCGCGTTTTCCAGCGTCAATTAACACAGGTTAGCTTTCAAACTTTCGATTTCTTCATGCAGGCAGGGGGGTTACAAAATTCTTCTCCTTGCGGAAAGAAGGGCATTTTGTTGAAAATAATACAAAATTTGTAGTTTCAGTTGCAAATGGTCCAGAACCGCTCACAATCCTTGCGCTCTCGCTTACCAAAGATTGAGTGAGACTGAGTCCGTACGATACTAAAACTAAAATAAAAACGGAGGACAATGGTTCATATTAAATTACCTTTTCTGCGAGAGCTGTCTATCGTAGTCGTGGCCTTTCAAGACTGAGGCAAGATCCATCTAAAACTATGTCTTGACACGCATTTTGAAACGCGACAAGAGCATTACCAGGCGCATAGTGCCGTAGCGAAATTTGAGAACCCCATCTACTACCAGGAAAGACGATAATGTACTACTACATTATACACGTACTATACCGACGCTTGCACAATACTCGCAATGGAAGCTTCCAATACCTTGTTGAATTCTTCGTCGGAGAGATTATGCGTCAATCCCTCGCTCAGCGCCCGAGAAAAGCTAGCAATCATTTTGGGTTGTTTCGACAGTCGTGAATTTGCCTCTGCTTGGGAATATCCACCCGAAAGAGCAACCACCTTTAGACAGGCCGGATGATCCATGCATTCTTGATAGAAATTGTCTTGACAAGGTATGGATAGTTTCAAAATGACTTGTGAAATATTCTCGTCACCACCACTGCTTTCTTCTTGCAACTGATCCAAGGCTTGTAGCAGGCATTTCTTCAGAGTTTCTTCGCATTCTTGTTTCTCAGCACTTTCAATATTGACTTCAGGTTCCAAAATGGGAACCAATCCAGCCTTTAGTATACGCTTGCCATAGTCAAATTGTTGTTCCACTACAACTTTGATTCCTTTTGGATTATTTTCATGAATGACGGATCGCATCTTGGTGCCAAAGACTCCCATGTTTCTGGCGGTTTGCAGTTTTTCTTCGAGCGACACCAGTGAGGAAGAGGAGTAGGGTGCCGAAGGTGCTGGTGGAGATTCCTCAAACGGCTTCATGAGCTGAACACCTGCTACTTTGGGCAATAATCCTTGATCAATTTTCAAAAAGGGAATGATCTGTTTGGTGTTCCATAGATATTGGGCCGTCTGTTGGCCTTCGACGGTGCGATGAAGGGTATCTTCAAACAAAATGGCCCCCAAAACGCCACCAGCACTCTCCTGTGGAGACAAAAATACAGGGCTTTGCATTATCCGACATCGCATGCCATGGACGGCTTCAAACATGGAAGCTTCGTTTCCTTGGTACAAATCGGATGGATACTGGTAGTTTTGTAGCGCACTTGGCGTGGATCCTCCCGATTGGTCCAAGGCTGCCAAGAATCCGTGTCCATGGAGTAGTTGATCTCTCATTTTTTGAAAATTCTCATCGCTTTGCGTGCAGACAGAAGAAGCCGACGATGTTGATGACCCTTGACATACTATTGTCATCAGTATCAATAACACGTTCAGCAATGTCGTTGCTATTCTCATGTTGTTTCTTGTAATTTTCAGCTCAATTTGGTCTCTCTCTCTCTCTCTCTCTCTCTCTTGTCAGCTGATGTGTCGATAATGATGTTGTCGTCAAACTACCTCTGTAATGTTCACTTGTCTTGTTTGCTGGTTTCTCAGTTGTCTTCTCCTAATGTATTTTGCCAGATGTTTTCTGTCCACCGTCAATTTTTCAAATTTCTTCGACTTTCAACTTACAGTATTGGAAGATTCCGATTCTCCCCCCTCATCTGCAGTTCCCCCCAACCTTTATATAGGGTTCGTTTCGTTGACACTTTTTGGAAGTAAAGCGATGCGGGCGCGCAGATCGAATTTGAAACATCAGTTTATGTTTCTTTCTGATTTGTCATCAATATTGTTGCTGCTGCTGCTGCTAATAATGAAACCATGGGCAACTCATCGCCCTATCCCAAAGCCAAAGGATCAAAACGAGATGCTCTTTATAAGGCAAAAGGTTCTTCTTCGGCTCTAAAGATTTTTGGCACTTCGTCGTCTTCTTCGAAGAACAACAAGAACACTCCTGTAGTTGTTGTTTTGCCAGAAGGGTTGCCAGTCGTCCATGCCAAGCTTTTCTTTCATAGCCCGACCTTACAACGAAGAAATATTCCGCCTTCTGTGGAACGGATTCGATTCAGCGCCTTTGAATCTTGTCAAGCACTGGTGGTGGTATCTAGACGAACAAGGACTATTGACGACTATTAAAATTCAATCCTTTGCCCATTGCACCTCCTTGCAAGAGATTCGGATCCCATCCTCTGTCAAAACCATGGGTATTTCCACCTTTTTCTGTTGTACTTCCTTGGTGGTGGTGGACTTGCAAGAAGGACTGCAAAAAATTGGTTCGATGGGCTTTGCTGAATGTACCTCTTTGGTGACCATTGCCATGCCATCTTCCGTTTCAACCATTGCGGCACGAGCCTTTGAAAAATGTACAGGATTGGTGGAAGCCTATCTTCCAAATGAAGGTAGCCTCACCAAACTGGATGAAGGTCTCTTTGCGTCATGCTGTTGCTTAGTAGAAAGCATCCAAATCCCATCCAGTGTACAAGTCATCAGACGAGAAGCTCTTGTCGGATGCACCTCTTTGGTCCAGGTGGATTTTCCAAATGTCCTTCGAACTATTGAAGCATTGGCCTTTTGGAAGTGTCACTCGATCAAAGATCTCGGTACTCCTCTACCGCCCACTGTCGAGACTATTGAATATCTGACATTTTCCGAGTGTCACCGGTTGACAGAAGTCTCATTGCCACAAGGATTGAAAGTCGTCAATGTGGAATGCTTTAGAGAATGTGCACTCTTAGAGAAGGTCTATCTCCCCGCGTCGGTGACGCATATCATGGAGCGCGCCTTTATGGGATGTGCAAGCTTGTCAGATGTCCATTTAGTGGAAGGATTACAAGTCATTGAAGAGGGTGCCTTTGAGGACTGTGTCTCCTTGGCGGCCATCCAAATCCCATCGACAGTCGAAAGCGTCTCCTATGAAGCCTTTTCAAATTGTCAATCATTGATTTGCATCGAGATTTCTTCTTCCAGCTCGGTCGAACTTTGTGATGGTGCCTTGGTTGGATGTCAATCCTTGGTCAATATCTGCCTTCCCAAAACTAACAAGGACGAGAAATACTCCTATCTGGAATCGTGGAGATTTCACGGTTGCCCCTTACTTCAGCAGCAGTACGATTGCTGGCTGTTGGGCCGAATGGTAAAGGCTCGATTCAACGTACATCCAATTCACTTTAAATGCTACCATGCTTCCGAGACTACCGCGGAGGAACTGCGGCTTGCCATCCAGTCATCATTCGGAACGAGGAAAGA